AACAGAGCTTGTCTCTTCCAATGTCAGCAAGAGAGAAATTCCCTGAGTGCTGCCCCTTTCCTGAAAGCACATTCCACATCCAGTCTGAGCCTGCTGGAGAGGCAGCTGGAGAGGGCCACTTTTGCAAAACATCAGCAGCCATTCTGCTTCGGCTAGCAAACTTGCGGCAGGAAAAGTCCACCCCAAATAGTAACAGCAGGAGAAGCCCAGCAATTGGGGGCCTTTCAGACTAGCCAATGCTCAAGGCCGGTTAGAGAAGAAGGTATCAATACATCAGGCAATTGTGTAAAGTGAAATAAACCCTATTACAAAAAAATTAAAAATGCGCACTGTAAAGTTATCCATTTATCTGTCCAATGGGCATGCCACCCAACCGCTAATGAAACTGGGTGGCTTACAGTTTAAAATATAGCTTCAGTGGGACATTGATTAAGAACAGATTGTTTCAAAGTCCAGTTCGATTTAACAAAGATAGGGTCATGCATGTAGTCCCAAGGAGAACGTATTTATGGACAAGAGGTTAGAACCCATAATTATCAAATCTGCAGATGACACAAAAATAGCAGTGATATGGAACTCCTTAGATGACAAAATAAAGGATGATCTTGATAAGCTGAAACAGGCAAAAAAAAAAAAAAAACCAACCAGATGAAATTCAACAAAGACAAATGCAAAATTCTGCATTTGGACAGGGAAAAGAAATAGAGGCAAGAAAGCTATCCAAGGATATAAAGGACTGTCATGTAGAAGAAGTAGCAGAATTATGCGGAGTTTGTCTAGCAGGCAGGACAACAGACAACTTTCCTAATGGATGTACAACAATGGGACAGATATGGAATTGCCAAAGGGTTGGAAAAGAGCTTTCAAATCTTCAAAAATACCCTCTCTTTGCTTCAGGCTGCTCTGCTCCCTCACCTTACCGACAGTTTGTTCATAAATGAATGGAGCCCCTGCGCCAGGTGTCAGCTCCAGCAAGCAACTGCAATGCAATGGCAAACCCAAGAGGTACTGAAAAGAGCAGCAGGTGGAAGGCACCTGGGATTTTCCTGGAGGTAGCTGGGTGAGAAGGTTGCCTCTGCCGGCAGCAGCCGCTGCTCTGTGTGTGTGATCTGCCCTCCCTTCCTCTGGCGAGCGGCTCGTCAAAGGCGCGGCTCCCTTTGCCTGCGTGTGTCTGAACTCAGCTGCCAAAGAAGTCCCACCAAGGCCTGCGTGAGGATTGGAGATTCCCACAGGCAGGACACTGCTGAACTGTAACCAGAGGCTGCCTGCGTACTTCAGCAGGGTGGAAATCGCGTTTTGGGAGTTCAGGAATCCAGCTCAGTCCTGGCCATGAACTTCAGCCTGTGTTTTGCCCATATTTACCTCAAAGAAAGTGAGACACACAAAGGTCCTGTGTTGGGGAACAGGAGTTGTCTTAGTCAGAGGAGAAGCTGAGTGACAGAAGCAGTAGTGATTTTGCTCTCTTTTTCCCTGGGGAGAAGATGAGGAAAACTCCCGGCGTGATCCCAGCTCTCTCTGGCAATCTCCCCCAGCATCTGGGCACGCCAGATGGACTTCACACATCGTGTTTAACCAGCTCAGTTAAAGCTGCACTCCTAGGTTAGTTTTTCTGTGGATTAGCTTGGAGTGTTGTGGAAATCCAGCCTGGCTGATTAATTTAGGATCCAGCATATTCTGCAAAACAGAAACTGGATTGATTTAGTTAAGCAAGGCCATTCTATTGTCTGAACCAAGTTGCAGTGCCTGTGAATTTTGTTTTCTGAGTGTTTGTGCCACACTCGGTCTCATTCCTGGGATGGAAACTGACTAGCTGCTGCATGGCATCCCCATTGAAAGATCGTCTCCTGCAGCCTTAGTGATCAAAAATTGAAAAAATTGACTCTCCAAAATTGAAGGGCAAAAGTGATTCTAGGGGCTCAAGCGATCAAGCGTACTCACAGGATACACACTAAATCTGTTGGCAACACTCTTATAACTATTGGCGTGTGTGAATAGACGGTTTATATATTTTACATAACTCTTGAAAGAAGTTGCACTTTTTGTGAGCTGAACCACACTGACTCAAAAAAAATATTACAGGAGATTAACAAAAATAATTTGCAATAAACTCTTTCCATCGTGGTCATCTCAAACTCCAAGGACAACAGAAGGTTTAATGTCCCCTCTAGCTACAAAGCTGATATTTCAGAAGGAATCTCTTTTTGTTTTCCAGAAGGAGCATTCATGGCAGTTTACAAGCTTAACTTTTTAGAGACAAACAGTGCTTATTTTAAATTTGTTTGCATCTCAAATTCTTCAGCCTCACCTATAATTGAATTCAGAATAGTTACAGGCATGTGCTGCTTACTTGTTGCTAAACACTAAGAGCTGAATATCATCAGCTTAATGGCATCGCCATCCCGTGAAACCGCAAACGACTTTTCTAGTGGCATCATAGAGATTTCTTATAACACAGAAGACAAGATAATAAAACTATGTGGCCCTCATAATCAGTGATAAATCACAGTCTTCTAACACCTTTTTGGGATTCAGTCCAACAGAGAAGACTAAAACAATATGTCCTTACTCTACATCAAAATCCTGTGAAGAAGGATCCAATCCAGTTCCTGATCAGGTTATCACCAAAGAGTCTGAGATCTCAGCTGCCTACAGCCCATTTTTTATGAGATACCATCTCAGTTTTACAATCCCAGCTATTCCAATTGCTGTACATGAAGGAAAGTTCCAATTTCTTCTATAAATAACTGTAACAAAGCATCACTTGAGTCATTCACACAGATTGTTGGCTTGTTTCCTAATACTATACATAAAGAATAATATCCCTGAAGATCATTTTTCTGGGAAAATTCAAGGTGAAGGACATGGGGAAAATAGGGACACTTCCCTATATACAAAATCATCAATAATTAAAAGTCTTGTTAAAGCACTGCAGGGTTCTACTGCAGAAGAAAAGTAGGTATAGTACATTTCATGGTTAATTCAGTGTCAATTAACCGATTACAAACTTCCCTCAAGCTAAATCTTATTTGGTATGGAGAAGAGAAATCAAAAACATGTTAGCTTTAACAAGCTTGGTGTTCAATGCCTCACTCATCTCTAGCCACAGGCTTAGAATCCATGTCGACAGATGTTCCATTGCCATTTTGTCATGTCACTGATTTGTTGACATTCTTCTCTCTCTCATCCACCACCCTCAGAACATTTTCCTGGGGCAAGAATGATGTTCAATCCAAAAAGAAGTAGCGCTCACTTTACAATAAATTCCTCTTCTCTGCAAAAAAAAAAACAAAAAACCACCCAGGGATGTCTACTGTCTTCCCCTGGCCAAGCTGAGACCAGAGCTGAATCAGCAGCAGCTGCAGCATATTAAACAAGGGTTCGTTTCAGCACCACGGCCAGATCCGGGGGGGAGGCAAAGGCCAAAGACAGCCCTGGGCCCTGTCTGGAAAGGGCTCCTGTTCCAAATTCTGCAATTCTGCTCCTGTTCCAAATTCTGTACATAGAAGATACAACAACAGAGTAACTTCCAGGACAAGACATCTAAAGAAACATTTAGAGTTTGTTATCCTCCACAGAGAATATTTCCTTAAAATAAACAGTTTGTCAAATACCTTCCCCCCCCCCTTTTTGGAACACTTTTAAGTTATCAGAGCTTGTAGGGGGGTGTATTTGCCTTATTATTGGGTTTGTTTTTTTAAGGTAAAAAGTAAACTAGGGCTGAATGTGGGCCTCAAGCAGAACCCTAAGGAAGAAAAGGGAAGTTCTCCATTGTGTTGGAGAAGTTTTGAGGGGGGTGATCCTCGTGCAAACTGAGCAATTACTAAATACCGACTTTGCTTTCATCTTTTCCCTAAAGGGCAACTGTGTTGACGTAGAAATGATAAAAGGGAATAGTGGCAACCCAGGTTAAATAAAGAGACACTTGGGAACACCTGATTGGCATAATGAAATGTCAGTCAGCAGAACCAGTTCAATGGCAGCTGAGAATAGGAAGGACCTGTGGGATGTCCCTTTGGAGCCCCTTTCTGTGATCTTCAGCAAATCATGGAGGATGACCCAAAAGACTGGATAAGAGCAAATGTAATTCCTAGCTTTCAAAAAAAAAAAAAAAAAAAAAAGAATAAGATAACCTGGGGACCTACAGTCTTCTCTCCTTGACAAAGATTCTAGGCCAGGGGTAGGCAACCTGGGCTCATTTATGACTCGAGGACTTCAACTCCCAGAATTCCTGAGCCAGCACAGCTGAGGGGAAAGGGAGAGGTTTCCAAGCTGAGCCAGGCTGGCTCAGGAATTCTGGGAGTTGAAGTCCACGAGTCATAAAAGAGCCCAGGTTGCCTACCCCTGTTCTAGGCAAAGCTCTGAAACAGACTGTTAAGCAGTTTGTGAACATTTATAAAAATGTCCTTGGTAAAAATGTTTATCCAGAACAAGCCTTACTAAACCATCAGCTCTTCAAGGTAGTCCAAGTCAGGAAACAGATTCCATAAGAAATACTAGAAATCTCCTTAATTGATACTGGCTCAAATAACAGAATCCTGAAATCCTGTTTTTCTTTCTCTCCCTATTTTATTTTATTATTGTAGTTATATAGCCACCCATCTCACTAGAGGCAGGAAAATCTTTTATCCCTAATCCATTCTGTCTGGATAATTTGGACCTTTGAATTCATTTCCATGTGAATAAGCTATTCACATGGCCTATTTTGATGGGGTGCGGGAGTTTACTATCATTCTGCATCATGTAAACAGTTTACCACTCTGAGCATTTGAAATGAAGAGCAAATTATAAATTCTAATAAAATTATTGCAACAAATAAGCACTGCATAGCATGCCTCTTTCAGGCTGGGAGTAATCGGTGTGTGGTTTTTTCTTTACAAAATGTTACTTTCGGTCTAGTGAGGCTTTGTAGAAATATGTCCTCTCTTTTAAAAAAAAATGTGTTTTTTTAAAAAAATATGAATTAAACCAGACAATGTTCTTTTTTATTATTATAGCTTTATTTATTTTCAAAAATACAAGATTAATAGATAAACAACGAAGAAAAAAATTGAAGAAAAAAGATCAAGAAAAAAAGAAGACAGAGATGCAAAAAGATAAAGAAAAGATAAACCAAGAGAATGACTTCCGACTTTCTCTAGTACAAAATGAATTTAGCCCCTCCCCCCAAACTCTTATTCTAAGGTTAAAATTTGTCTATATAATTTCTATAAACCTAATTCTAATGATTAAATCCCATTAATCAATATTTCATTTCTTTCAGTTCCTCACAACAAATCCAAAAATGGCTTCAAAGTAAAAATACAATTAGTCAAACTCTTTTCTTTAATCAAAGCTATCAGTTTTGCCATCTCCATCAGTTTCACCATCGACTTTTCCATTGTAGGTATTCGTAAGTCCTTCCACCTTTGAGATGTGGTGGTGCAGTGGTGAGAATGCAGCATTGCAGGCTAACTCTGCCAGCAGTTCAGCAGTTCGATCCGCACCAGCTCAAGGTTGACTCAGCCTTCCATCCTCCTGAAGTCAGTAAACTGAGAAGCCAGATTGTTGGGGAAAGATACTGACTCTGTAAACCGCTTAGAGAGGGCTGTAAAGCATTGTGAAGCGGTATATAAGTCTAAGTGCTATTGCTATAAAAGTCTTGCTGTTGTTAGCATATATAAAAGCAACTTTGCATAAGATGTTTCCATTTGTTTGTCCATTAAATCAAAAAAATCTCTAATTTCAAGTGTACCTTCATTTTTAAAGTCTTCTGAATCAGAATACATATTTGATCCCAATATTTTTAGCTTTCTTATTTGCCCACCAAGGATGAAAAAACTTACCCTCAATGTGATTACATTTCCAACAAATATTTGAAATTTTCATATACATTCTTCACAGTTTATCTGATGTCATATATCAATGATACATCATTTTATAAAAATTCTCTTTGAGATTATGATTCAGTGTAAATGTTTTACATTTTCTCCAACTGATCAAACTGTATATTATAATCAAAAAAATTGCCCACTTTATACTGCATAATGTGTTCATCCTGTTTCCATTTTCAATAAAAGTTCATACATCTTAGCAATAACACGATCGTTTGTACACAACTCCATATCAAATTCAATCTTACTATTTTTAAATTAATAATTCTTATCTAAATATTTTCATCAAATGAGCATAGGGAAACCAATGGAGCCTTGGCAAGGTAGGAGAGAAATAGAAATTATTCCTGCATAGAGGGAGAAAACAGGGGGAGCAAATTACAGGATGCGGGGGGGGGAGGAAACCGGCTTGGCAGTGGAAGATGCGAAAAGGATCTGAATGTTGAACTTGAACATGATTGAACGGTGTGATGCAGCTGCTGACAAAACAAATGCCCCCTTATGGTATGTTAATTGAAGCATAATTCAGATCACCGGACAGCATTGCCCCACTCTATCTTGGTTAGAGTCCCCCTCCCCCAGAATAATGTGGCCAGTTCCAGGCACTGAACTCCTTTAAGGACACTGACAAACTGGAGCCAGTTCAGAGGATGGCTAGCAAGGCGATGAGGGGACTGGAAACCAGATCCTATGAGAAATAATTTAAGACAAAAAGAATAAGTTATTAAAAAATGATTTCTTTATTTTTGTGGAGAGAATTTGATGCATTTATTTATTTATCATACTTGTAGGTCACCCATCTTACCACATGTGCCTTGAAAGAGGGCTGCCAAGAAAGAGGAGATCACCCACACCTCTAATTGGGCAACAGCAAAGTATATATTTGGAGAAGGGGATGCTGGGAAAGACCATCTGCCTTGTTGTCCAAACTCTGCGCTTCAGATCCTGTTTCTTTCGGGTGATTCCCTTTTTTTTCCCTTCTGCTCTGCAGTCAGTTGACACCATTTCAGAAATCTGAAACAGGAAAGCTTTTATATTGTTTAACTCTTTCCTTCTCCCTACTTATCTTAGAACACAGAACATTGAGTGACAAGATTGGAAGAGACCATGGAGGTCTTGTAGTCCAACCCCCTGCTCAAGCAGGAGACCCTATACCAGGGGTAGGCAACCTTGGCTCTTTTATGACTCTGGACTTGAACTCCCAGAATTCCTGAGCCAGCATATCTGCTCAGGAATTCTGGGAGTTGAAGTCCATGAGTCATAAAAGAGCTGAGGTTGCCTACCCCTTCCCTATACCATTTCAGAAAAAAGACTGTCCAGTCTCTTCTTAAAAACCTCCAGTGATGGAGCACCAGCTTCTTGAGGCAAGATGTTCCATTGATTAATTGTGCAATTTGTCCTCTGACTCTAGGTTTTTTTGTTTTTCTATTTCACTCTGCATGGCCCTCTCTCAAACTCTTTTCAGAAGCAGCCAGAAACCAACAAGCTTGGTCACTGATCCTAAACAAGACTCAATAAGTATTGAGCACGTAAGGAGAAACCCAAATGCTTTTCTGCCTGTAAACAGGCCATACAGTAAGAGGTGAATCTGGATGGCATGCTCTGCCCTCTGTTAGAAGCAGAACGGCAGAGAGGAGCATAAAAATTATTGTAGCTTGCCATTCCGAGATAAAAGAAAAAAAAACGGATGTTCCTGGCCCACCTAAGATGGTAAGTCAAAGGGGACGTGCCAAGACTCGCCAGATGAAATGCATGGAGTAGACTTCCAAGTAGAGTTAGGAAAGTCTGTATTCTAAACTATTGTTGCCAGACCACAGTTGATGTGGCTGACTCTAGATATTTTTTGAGCTGCACTATCTGCCTACATTCCCGGAATCTTAAATATAACCCTCAAGTCCCCCCCCCCCCAAAAAAGGCCATGATCCATGTCTAATCGATCAATTGGTGGATACGATTGTGGTCATGCTTTTGCCTCCTTACCGTCTCCCCCACCTCTGTCCTGGCCTTGCCCCATTTTCTGGCATGTGGTCTGTCACACCCCTCAATGACCAACCGCAGCCTTCACCCCCCACCCCCCAAATAGGCTGTTCTAGGAGTTGCATAGATTCATGAGGCTAACCCGATTTCTCAAATCCATCTTGTGAGGACCTCAAAGGCAGACATCAAAGAGACAAAGGCTCCATGCCTACGGAACAGAAATTACTTCATTTTTCGTATGTTCAAACCTGCACTCTGCAGCCATTTGTTTTTGTTTTAATTTCCTGTTGTTTTCAGCGGAAGTGTGTTGCTCCCTCAACCCCACCTCCGCAATGCTCTATCTTCAGAAAGCAAAGCAACACTGGCTGGAGGCAAGGAGGATGGCAGCTGCCTGTTCTGGCCTGGTCCAGAGATGTGGCTTCCTCTTGAGCCCTAGAGGCACGGGGCTGCGTGGGGCACGGTGGCAGGCCTCTCACTTTCCCAGACGAGAGTGATGCAAACCTCGTTCTCTGCCCACTGGATTGGAACTGGCTGTCAGCCAGCCACTGCCGCCACCAAGGAGAGCTGCTTCTCACAAAATTGCAGCAAGAGCAGCCAAGCAACTCGTTGTGGGCGAGCCTGGGCTGGAAGAAATCCTCCTCAGGGCCTCGTTGACAACAGTGGGAGTTGGTGAAATGCAATCCGAGCAAGACGAGTTGTGGAGCAGATTGTGGCTCCAGCAAGACGGGTTTAGGGAGTGCTGGGCCTCAGCCAAGGAGATGCTTGCAACACACAACTCTGGGAGACAAAGCCAAGTGGACTTGCTGGATAAGGACTTGGCCACTGACAGAGACTCCTGGGCTGCTTCTCCAGCCGCATCATGAAACACCTGATCCCAAGTCTCGGATGGAAAATGTCACAGGTTGCAAAACACACCTTAAGTGATGACTCTTTAAAAGTAGTTCTTCGGTGAAGGATGGGCCCATCAGCAGCAGAGCAATAGGCCAAATGGTGAGAAACTTTCAGAAGCGGCATTGTCAAGTTCATGCTTCTTTGGAGGACCAAAAGCTGAGAACTGAGAAGTGTCTCTTACTAGTCAAGTAAACAAGTACCGGCAGAGCACAAGTGGAGGACAATGGAACTCCTACTGCTGGTCTATCACACATCTACAGGCAAACCTGTTCTTATCTCCTGCTTCTACGAATATTTTAACACAGAACCAAGATAAAAGAACAGGCCATGCTAGTTTGGATCCCACACAGTGCCCAAAGCACAATAATGATGTGACGGGGATGGGGAGAAATAACGCAACAAAGAACGATAGCCGCCCCACTTACTGAAGAGGGTTTTCTTCAAGTTAAGCTCAAGCACTGGTGGCTTCGTGGACAGGTTCAAGGCTACAGGGTGGAAAAAGTTCCCACCCTATTTCAACGATTCTTTGCTCAGATTTGCTGGCTAATCTATAACCCTGGGATTCCCTAGTGAGCAAGCAGTGGCCAGGCCAAATTCCGCTTAGTTTCAGAGTTCAAACAGAGTAGCATATACAGTAGGAAAATGTTAATTTATGAAGCCAAACAACCAAGGAAGCTTTGATAATTTAATTATGCTACATCTGTACTGAAAAGTGAAATGCAGGCTCAACCCTGGCTACTAAATTGGGACATAAGTGGATGAGGGCCTTCTTCTAAAGGGAACAACTCATGGCTGAGATTGGGCTACTGGTCATCGCGAAATCCTAGAGTTGAGGGATCCCAGGTCCAGTCCTCTGTTCCAGGCAGGAACCCAAACAAAAGTCTGGCATCTCATGAAGATCCCCTGCTCCGAAAAGCATCCCTCCCCCCCCTTCAGACTGCTCTTACTGTTAGGAATATTTCTCTTGTCTTTTTTTTTTAAAAAAAATTCAAATTCCAATTGGAATCTGCCTTCTGCTACATTAAGCTAGCTAACAGGGAAAAAACCCAGAATGATCTTAATTGATTAGAAAATTGGACAAACAGAATAAAATTTAGGAGAGATCAATGCAAAATTCTTCAAGTGGGAAACAGAAATCAAGCGTGCAAGTATCATTCGCTTGGGAAAAAAAGATCTTAGTGGAGTACGTGATTGCCATCGTAGTAGTATGAAATAGTGTGGGGGGGGGAGTGGGTACACACAGGCACATGTGTGTAATTTCAGGTCCAATCTACCAGGAAGAGATACTTTTCCAGGCTCAGATACAGCCATGAATGAACTGCACAGTTCCAGTCACAAGAAAGTTTCAAGAAAGTTCCAAGAAACATGAAAAGAGGAACCAAAAGGCAAGCAGGCAAGCAGAATCCGTCTCCCAAGGAGAGATGGGTTAAAAAAAAAGTTTGTTCAGTCTCAACTGCCTTCTTCAAATCCTTTATAGGTTGCCACAGGGAAGTCACACACACACACATACACAAACACACACCAGCTTCAGAAAGTAGCCTAATCTCCTCCCCCTCCCCAAACTAGCACTAGGCCAAATTTGCACAATAGGTTAGTGAAGGCTGAAGTAGGGTGGTTAGTTTCAGGTTGAGCATCTTATGGGAACACGGCAATGTCTGGCACAATGGTGGCGAACCTATGGCACGGGTGCCAGAGGCGGCACTCAGAGCCCTCTCTGTGGGCACGCGCGCTGTCGCCCCAGTCCTAGGCCTTCACTGCATTTTATAAAACCTTTTCGCTTTAGGCCTCTGCTGCCATGTACAAAAAAAAAAAGGTTCAATCAATCAGTCAATTTCAACTTCTCGCGGGGGAAAAAAAGACCTTGCAAAGTTGAAATTGATTGATTGAACTTTTTAGTCTCACCCAGTCTGCCGTTACCACTGCAGCCACGCCCACCCAATGGGCCACACTCAGCCAAGGGACCACATCCACTTGGCACCCGATGATGCATAAGTGGGTTTTGGGTTGCAGTTTGGGCACTCGGTCTCTAAAAGGTTCGCCATCACTGGACTAGCATATTCTATGAACTAGTTCAGGGGTAGGCAACCTTGGCTCTTTTATGACTCGTGGACTTCAACTCCCAGAATTCCTGAGCCAGCATAGCTGGCTCAGGAATTCTGGGAGTTGAAGTCCACGAGTCATAAAAGAGCCAAGGTTGCCTACCCCTGAACTAGGACATCATGTTAACAGATAACCTGGCTTGTTTGGGAATCCCATGTGTAAAGACAGATAACACAGCATTTGCAGCTGCTGCACTCAGACCTCTGTGAGAAGACAGCGCAAAGGCCTGCCAAGATCCCTTGTTCACAAAGAAACCCAAGGAAGCCTTTGTTAGGGCAGCAGCTTCAGCCACGGTCCAGCCCTCTCCAGCATCTGTTTTGGAGCCTCTGCAGAAGAGGTCCCCTTGGGTGATAAGGGCACTCCTCACAAGCAGGGGGTGGGGGTGGGCTTCACTCAGCACCAGCCCAGAGGAGGGGAGCTGCAGCAGGAAGGAAGGGTCTGACCTTAGGCTTCTTTGGGCTGCTATTTCTCCCCCATTTTTCCACCCCATCTGAGCATCTTCTAAATCAAACGAGCATGAAATAAAAAAGAACACCATTGGAGAAACAGCAAGAAAGACAATCTACCTGTTTCCCTTATAGGCTCAAAGAAGGCATCTTTTGCAGGTCCTGCCCTGATTAAAAAACCCCAGGGCTGGAGCGGACCTTGGTGGTCTTCTACTCAACCCCCCTGCCCAAGCTGAAGTCTTTATTCTGTCCCAGACAAATGAAGGTCCTAATCTTTTCTCGAACACCTGCTGCAGTGGAGCAGCCAGAAATCCGGGGGGGGGGGCAAACTGCTCCTCTGATCAATCGTTCTCTCACCAGCAGGAAATTTCTCCTTAGTTTTACGTTGCATCTCTCTTGAACAAGCTTCCATTCACTGCTTCTTGTCCTGCCCTCAGGTGCTTTGGAGAACCCCTCTTCCCTTTACAGCCTTTCAAGTACTGGAAGACAGTTACCATGTCTCCCCCCTCCTAATCCTTCTCTATAATAGGCTAGAGACGTACCTAGTTCACTTAGCCACTAATCACATGGCTTAACCTCCAGACCCTTATCATCTTTGTTGCTCTTCTCTGCACATTTCCTGGAGTCACAGCATTTTTTGTTTTTATATATATCTTGGGAACCAGAACTGGATGCAGGACTCCAAGTTTGGCCTCACTAGTGCAGTATAAAGTGGTACTATCACTTCTCGTGATCTTGATGCTGTCCCTCTGTTGATGCAGCCTAGAACTGCATTGGCCATTTTGGCTGCTGCAACCCATTGCTGGCTCATACGTAGGTGATGATCCTCTAAGACACCTAGATCCTTCTCACGATAATACTACTGTTGAGCCAGGTATCACCTATTCCATACCTGTGTATTGGGTTTTGCTTGCCTAAGTGTAAAACTACTTTTGCATTTTGTTGGATAGGGCCCAATGCTCCAGTCTGTCAAGATCCTTCTGCATCTTGAATCTATCTTCCAAAGTTTAAACTGAAATTCCAAATCTCACAGTAAATTCTGCTTTTTATGTGCCCAGACTGAAGTTGTTGGGAGGGCTTAAAACTTGCTTCTTTACACTGAAAACAAACTCTCAAAGCCACAAAGAAGCCATTTGGAATGTTCCACACTGTGCACACTCTTTTTTTTTCTTCAGTGGGGATGTTTGGTGGACCGACTACAACATCTGTTAGATGGTCCCTCCCTTTCAAGGATCTCACCAAGTACTTACGACATCACCAGGATGGTGTGATCCCCAGTTTTAGCCCCTGCCAAAATGAGGATAGCTGTGTCTCCTTTCTTCTGCAGACTGCAATACAGGCTATCTGCAAAACACGGAGGAGAGGAAAAGTCAGGACAAGGCATAATGATCAAGCTGGTTGTTTTTTTCCCACCAGTCTCTATAAGCAGGCACAATGCAATTAAAAGCAGAAAACACAAGGAGAATTATTATTAGAGTTTGTCACTCGGTCACCCAGATGTTTAGACCAGATTTGAAATTTTTATACACTGATCACATCCTTCCCAAGGACCTGGTATAGACAGATGTTGCTTGAAAGTGTGAAAGGTACCATTGCAAAATGTAAGCTGTTCCAAATAAAGCTGCCTTTTGCAATTGACTGATGGGAACTTGTCAATGCCAATGGTTCCAGTGGTTGTTCACAACAATATGCAGTCAGAGCTGTGGGTTCTTTAGCTGCTGTTGGCCTTCATACATATCAAGTTCTTCCCAAGAATCTAGGATGTTCTAATGTATCAGCATAGTCACAAAAATGTCCCCCAAGCAGTATGGTCTTTTGCAATTGACACATCAACATTTTGTCAGAGTGCAGATTTTCTAAGCACCATCCAAGATTTTTTTAGTTTGGCACCCAGAATGGTGATAACCACTGGGACCACCAGTCAGTTTATGCCATAAACTTACAACTTCGATTTTCAGATCTTGATAGTTTATGACTTTCTCCAGTTCTCTGTCTTCTATTCTACTATCCCCTGGCACTGCCACATTAATTATCCACATTTTCTTTTGTTCAACCACAGTTAATTCTGGTGTGTATGTACCAAAACGTTATCAGTTTATTCAGTTATTATGGTTCAGTCAGACAGATGTTTAGACTGGATTTGGCATTTGTAGCTACCTATCAAGTCCTTCCTATCTAGCTTTATTACAGTCGCCTGTGCCCAATGGTTCTGGATGTCTTAGCACATATCAAATATAGAATTAAGGCATCAGTCAAAAGAGGGGTTCCACTAATTCCATGACAGGGAATAGACCCTAAGAAAGCAGGCACAGAGAAGGCACAAGATGACAAGTTTAACTGAGGGCACCAAGGTCATAGCCACTCTGCCCGTGTGTACCAGGCAGGCCAAAATAACTGGAGACAGTTTGGCCAAGCAGATAATCAGCTCCTATGCAATCGAAGACTTTATGGGTGACAAGCAACACTTTGAACTGTACCCCGACGGCAATTGACAGCCAATGCAACCTGCAGTGATGACATGGGCACAATGAGTAGTGCTGAGATGTTTTATTTTGGATCAGCTGTCATTTCTGGTTGATCTCCAAGGACAGCCCCAGATATCTCCCATTGCAGTAGTCCAGCCAGGAGATGACTAGGATGCAATTGCCTCAAGTCAAGGAATGGATGTGAATGGTGCACAAGAGGAACCTGTACAAAATCCTCCTGCCACAGCTTCCATATGCTCATCAAGCTGCAAGTCCAGGACTGCCAAGCTGTGCAGAGGGACTGTGTTGTGCTGCCTAGTAGGGTTCGCCCCATTACACAGAGAGAGAGAGAGGAGAGGGAGAGAGAAAGAGAGAGAGAGAGATGGAGGGAGAGAGAGAGGGGGAGAGAGAGAGAGAGAGAGAGAGAGAGGGAGAGAGGGATGGAGGGAGAGAGGGGGAGAGAGAGGGGGGAGAGAGGGGGGAGGGAGAGAGGGGGAGAGGGGGAGAGGGAGAGAGAGAGAGAGGGAGAGAGAGAGAGAGAGAATTTCCTGGACGTTACTTTTATCCTTATTAAAATTCATTGACAAATTCATTATTTACTAGGTGTTGCTGCATGCAAAGACTGACTTGCGGGGACAATCCTTGGGGTGAGTCTTTCCCCGTAGGCCAGCACAAAACAGTGGGCATGAAATGGGCTGCCCCAATGCCAGCCCTTCTGGCGGGTGTAATTGCATCTCTTCCAAGGAATTGGGGGGTAGGTGGGCTGAATGGTGCCCCTGCCAGACAGTCCAGTGGCCGGTGAGGCTCCATTCTGGAGGGGCTGCCTCTCCCTTCCGTTGTCACTGGGAAGCAGACATGGCACCCACAAAGGGGGCCCCAGCAGGGAAAGTTTTGTGGACTCCCTGAGAACTAAACTTTAAAATGCAACTTTTCTTCCCGTTCCAAGAAGCGTCTTGTGGGGATGTTACATTCGTGCACTGGAGATAATCGGGAACAGGAGGGTGTTAACGTGAGGTTGGGGATGCTGAAGAAGACTGCAAGGACAGAAGAGGGGCTGGGGAAGGGGGTGCTCCTTTCCCTGCTATGGAGCTCTTCATCCCTAATGTTGCCCCCCCCCCCACTCACACACACATACACGTTTCAAGTGCCCAGCTGTGTCTACCACGGTCACAACTTGCTTCTTGCTTTTTTTGCGTGCCAACCATTGTAAGGAACGATGATAGTTCAGAAGGAATTGCGACCAATAGATCAGTGGACAAAATATCATCTTTAAATCTTAGGCTTGAGACGAGGAAGGTCTCAAACTTACCGATCGAGCAGCAGGCTGGGTCAACAACAAGCGGGGGAGGGGGGAGCGGCGCTGAAAACCTCCGTCCCTTCCGTCGGAGACCGTCAGGATGAGACCCAAACCGGGCACGCCTAACGCCTTTCCCGGAGAGTGAGCAGGCTTTAGCCCAGGGGTTCTCAACCTTGGCAACGTTAAGACTTGTGGACTTCAACTCCCAGAATTCCTCAGCCAGCTTTGCTGGCTGAGGAATTCTGGGAGTTGAAGTCCACAAGTCTTAAAGTTGCCAAGGTTGAGAACCCCTGCTTTAGCCCTTGACCGAGTAGCCGTCGCGCCCATCGCCCGCAGTGGGTCGTCCAGGCTTCGGAGGGGGGTGGCTGGGAGCCTCTGCGCGGAGCCGGCGCCCGGCGGGCAGGAGGGC